AATTACTCAATATGAATACTCTTTCCCTCTTCCCCTGATGACGGTTTGAAAGTGGCCGAACCCCCCCCCGCGTTTTTAACCTATACTTTACACCAATTACCCCTAACCCCCCCCCTTATTTAAACTTTTTTTACACACAGGTTTCCCCGGAGTTGGGTTTTCGCCTGCATTTTTTTCCAAAATGCTGCTCTCGCTGAGGCGCCGGCCTCATTTTCAGGCCCCGCTCATTCCGAATCGTGCTCCCGCTGCAGCGCTGGCCTCATTTCCGTGCTTCCGCTCGTTCCGAATCGTGCTCCCGCTGCAGCGCTGGCCTCATTTCCGCGCTTCCGCTCGTTTCGACTCGCGTTCCCGCTGCAGCGCTGGCGTCATTTCCCGTGCCATGCACGGCATGCAATGCAATGCTAGGTTGATACTACGCTTTGCGGTGCTCTTCTACGCCATGCCATGCCGTGCTCTACAATGCATCGCGTACCCTTTCGGGATCATTGCCCTGCTCGACATCCGACTGTGAGAGCAGAGAGGGGATCTGCGCCATGGAAAGGGATGGGAGGGCGGGGTTGGATATCAGATATGACGCGAGCGCACCTAGCTTGCCCTCCCCCCCTCTCCGAGGTCCCCCGCGTGGGCGGGAGGACAGCCATTGCACGGCCGCGCTTCGCCCCTCGGGGCCTGGGGCGGAGGCAGCTGCTCCTCTCCCAGGGTCCGCGGGGGGCGAGAGCTCACGAAGATCACGGCGGCGCTCGCGCCCCGCACGGCGCGAGGCAACGACTTCGTCGTCGTCGTCGTCGTCGTCGTCGTCGTCGTCGTCGTCGTCGTCGTCGTCGTCGTCGTCGTTGTCGTCATCCTCCTCTCTGTTTCTTCCCCCCTTCCCTGCCCCCTCACCCCCTCCCTCCTCTTCGTCGTTCCCCCTCCTCCTGCCCCCGTCCTCCCCTCCTCTTTCCCCACCTGGGCGAAGTCAGTAATCAAGGCTCCCGCTCCTCGACCTCCTCCATCTCTTCGTTCTCCCCCTGTCCTCACCCCCATCCCTCCTCCCTTCTCCCCCTTGCCCCCCCTACCCTTCCTCCTCCCGCTTCTCATCCTCCCCTTCCCCGTTTCTCGTTCCCCCTCCCCGCCTTCCTCACGATGTGAGGGGCAGCATCCCCCTCCTGCCAAGATCTGAGAGTCATCGCTCCCCCCCGCCCCAGGTTCGGGGGCGCCCACGAGGGGGGCTGACGACTGCAGGGCCCCGTGGATCTGACGGAGGGCGCCGTGACTTCTCTCCCGGCTGCCGCGTGCCCCGCCCCCCCACGCAAGACGTTCCTGGACCCGTCCTCCTCCTCCTCCTCCTCCTCCTCCTCCGCCTCCTCCTCCTCCTCTCTCCTCCTCCTCCTCCTCCTCCTTCTCCTCTTCCTCTCCTCCTCCTCCTCCTCCTCCTCCTCCTCCTCCTCCTCCTCCTCCTCCTCCCTCTCCAGTCTGGAGGCTCTTCCTCGCCCAAGGCGCCCCAGCTCCTCGCTCCATTTTGGAGCCCCTGGGGCCCTCTGGACCTCGTGATATGGGGGGGGGGGGTGCTCTGGAGGCCGCCGGGGGCAGCCTCGGAGCTCCGGGGGGAACCCGTGGGCCAGGGACAGCCCCCGCGGGGTCGGCCTGGACTCGTGGGCCGGCCCTGCCAGCTCCAGGGTGCCCTCTCGTGCCCCGTGCCTCGCGACCCATGCCCCTCCCCCTGCATTCCTGTGGCGCCGTGGCCCTCGGAAAGGGCCTCGTGCCCTGTCGCGTGCCCTGTCCGATCAGGTCCGGCCGCAGCAACCGCCCCGACTCTCGTCCGCGCACACGCCTCGGGCCGTGGGGCGCTGTAGCCGCGCCCGTCCTGCCCGGCCCCCCCCCTCTGCGGCGCGCCCTCTGCAGGTGGCCGAGGTCTTCATGGCGTCCGGGAAGAAGTTCGGGTTCGTCACCTTCGACTCCAGCCGCTCGGCCAGCGCGGCCATGAGCGCGGGGATGTGCGACGTGAACGGCGTTCAGGAGGGACTCTTGCTCCTCCGGGTTTCGCCTCCTCCCTCTCCTCCGCCGCCTGCCTCTTGGGGATTCTGCTGCCTGCTCCTCTTCCCTCCCCATCTCCGCAGTGGCGGCCATTCAGTGAAAGATGGTCCCCCTCGGACTACCGGAAAAGTTCAAAACGAAGTACGACGAATCTTTATTCATTCGAACACATTACTACACATTACACGTGAAGATACCAAACAAGTTTAGAATTAGGCCACGAAGTCAAGTCACAGTTACAACAAACAGTAGCAGGAATTTTGGTAGCGAGTGATGTGATTGTCGGAGGTTGGGGGGTGAGATCGCAGTGGAACGGAGACCCCCAAATGGGAAACCGTTTCGTTTCGTTCTTGTCGTGCGTGCGGGCGAGGCGAAGCTGCGTAGGCGCGCGAGAGGAATGAGCCCGCCGTTGCTAGGGCGAAGTCAAGACAAATGATTCTCTCCCGCCCGCCCGTCCGGCGGTGGCTCGCGGTGTCCCGCGGTGTCCCGTAGTGTCCCGTGGTGTCCCGTGGTGTCCGCCGTTGCTAGGGCGAAGTCAAGACAAATGATTCTCCCCCGCCCGCCCGTCCGGCGGTGGCTCGCGGTGTCCCGCGGTGTCCCGTGGTGTCCCGTGGTGTCCCGTGGTGTCCGCCGTTGCTAGGGCGAAGTCGAGACAAACGATTCTCCCCCGCCCGCCCGTCCGTCCGTCCGGCGGTGGCTCGCGGTGTCCCGCGGTGTCCCGTGGTGTCCCGTGGTGTCCCTCGGTGTCCCATTGAGTGAGATCGATAGTGAGATCGATAGTGAGATCGATATTGAGATCGATATGGTGCCTCGAGGTGTCCCGTTGTGTCCCCAAAAGTGAGATCGATAGTGAGATCTATAGTGAGATCGACAGGTGTCCCGTGGTGTCCCGTGGTGTCCTGTGGTGTCCCGTGGTGTCCCGTTGAGTGAGATCGATAGTGAGATCGATAGTGAGATCGATACTGCGATCGATGTGGTGCCACGAGGTTTCCCGTGGTGTCCCGTGGTGTCCCAAAAAGTGAGATCGATAGTGAGATCGATAGTGAGATTGGCAGGTGTCCCGTGGTGTCCCGTGGTGTCCCGTTGAGTGAGATCGATAGTGAAATCGATAGTGAGACCGATAGTGAGATCGATGTGGTGTCCCGAGGTGTCCCGTGGTGCCCCGTGCTGTCCCGCGGTGTTCGATGGTGTCCCGTTGAGTGAGATCGATAGTGAGATCGATAGTGAGATCGATAGAGAGATCGATACTGAGATCGATGTGGTGCCCCGAGGTGTCCCGTGGTGTCCCGTGGTGGCCCGTGCTGTCCCGTGTTGTCCCGTTGAGTGAGATCGATAGTGAGATCGATAGTGAGATCGACAAGTGTCCCGCGGTGTCCCGTGGTGTTCCGTGGTGTCCCGTGATGTCCCGTTGAGTGAGATCGATAGTGAAATCGATTGAGTCACATGTTGGTTCCCCCCCCCCTCTTTCCCGCCCCCACAACCTCCTTATCACCCGAAGGGTGGTCGTATAGGTAACCGTGTATATGTCATTGAACAGATATGGACTCTTAGGTGGTACGCAATAGTAGCATTGGTATACATATGTTGTTTTGAATTGCTGTTAAAACTACCACATTTCATGAACCATATGCCCAACACATTGTGTGCGCATATATACACATACATGGACTCCCGTCTGGCCATCGGCCCCTCCCCGCTAGACCGACATTATGGAGCCGCGAAGCGAGCGACGGGGCGCGCCGAAATTGAGAAGTGAGGGCTGTGCTGGAGTGAATGGGCCGGAACGTGTGAGGGGCCTTACGAAATGGGAGGCGAGAGCTTATGCAGTCACCGACTTTGGAGCCTTCGGTGGAACCCCCAATAGCTTTATGGGGCCACGAGCCGCATGAGGGGCGTGCCGAAGTGAGTGGCGAGAACTCACGTGGTCACCGCCCGCCTTGCCCCGCGCCCACCGCCCCGCGCAAACAGATGCCGCGCACATTCTCCGGGACAGCCTTTAAGGTCTAGGGTTGCAACCGCCCCGACAACATCGCCCCCCCCCCCCCCGCAGCTCACGCATCCCTAATGGGCTTGGGATCCCCGCGAACCCGCGCTGCCCGCACGTCCCGAACGAGTCCTTGTAGTACTGCTCTTCCTAGTCTTGCCCTTCCTGGAAAGAATGCTCTCTAGCGAGGTGTGCGTGTGCGTGTTTGCGTGTATGAGTGTGTGTGTGTGTGTGTGTGTGTCTGTGCTTCTGTGTTTCTGTTTGTTGTGCGTGGGCTCCTGGGTCTTGGGCTCATCATGGGCCCCATAATAAGTTTGCTTTGCCGGGTTGTCGTGCTCGTAGGCCTATTTCGTCCTGCTAGTACGACCGCGTGGCGTACTAGCACGCGTACGTAGCCGTACTCGCACGCTCGGCCGTGCACGTCGCAGTCGTTCTAGTCGCCGCACGTAGCCGTGCTAGTGCGCCCGACCCTGCACACCGCCGTCGTAGTAGTAGGCCTGCGTAACCGTACTCGTACGACCGCCCCTGCACTCCGCCGTCGTACTAGCAGGCCTACGCAGCCGTACTAGCACGCCCGCTCCGGCCGTGCTACTACGCGTAAGTCGCCGTACTCGTTCGCTTGGCCGTGTGCGTCGCGGGCGTGCGAGTAGCCGTACGTAGCCGCACTCGTACGCCCGACTTTGCACACCGCCGCCGTCCTAGTAGGCCCACGACGCTGTACTAGTACGCCCTTTCCTGCTCTCCGCCGTCGTACTCGTAGACTCGTGGGCCCACTTAGCCGTGCCAGTACGCCCGCCCTGGTCGTGCTGGCGCGCGTACGTAGCCGTAGTCGCACGCTCGGCCGTGCACGTCGCAGTCGTACTAGTAGCCGTTGTACCAGTAGACCTACGTGGCCGTACCAGTACGCCCGTCCCTACAATTCGCCGTCGTACTCGCAGGCCTACGTAGCCGCACTAGTAAGACCGCCCCTGCACTCCGCCGCTGTACTCGTAGGCCTGCGAAGCCGTACTGGTACGCCCACCATGGTCGGACAAGTACGCGCGCGTCGACGCACTCGTGCGCCCAGTCGCGCACCGCGGGCGAATCGGGCGCAGGGGGGGAACCTTCCGTCCGGGGCGCAGGCGGTAGCCCATCCGCGCACGAATCTACTGCAAAGGAGAGCCATCGCGTCTGGACTGGGGGTGATACTCCATTACCAGCCGATTATATATGGTCCCCCCAGCAGAACAACAGCAACGCGTGCTCGTGGGTTGCAGGCCACTAGCTCAATTTGTCTTGGGGAGCTGTCCTGTTTTCGGCCCCGCGGGCCTCCTCCGGGATGCGACGAAGGGCGGTTTCAGCGTCGGGGCCGTCTTCTGTCTCGATGTCCCACCTCAGCAGAGAGCAGCAGCGGGCAGCTGACAGCAGCAGGGAGCAGCAGAGTGCATCAGAGGGTAGCAGGGAGCAGCACTGAGCCGCAGAGAGCAGCAGGGTGCAGCAGGGTCCAGCGGGGAGCAGCAGGGATCAGCAGAAAGCAGCAGGGAGCCGCAGAGAGCACCAGAGAGCAGCAGAAACCAGCGGAGAGCACCATCGAGCAGCAGAGAGCAGCAGGGCGCAGCACAGGGCAGCAGAGAGCAGCTCTTTGTCAACTTGTGGACAGCGTGAATTGGAGCGCGGCCGACCGTCTTCAGTACGTGGACGAGGAGAAAGCCGCCCAGCTTCGCCAGCCTCAGCGTTTCCTCTACGACTATGCCGTTGCCCAGTTGCTGCTCGAAGTCCAGAAGGCAGCTTCTGCCCGCTCAGATTCAGCGGACGATGCAGCCAACGTCGGCGCGGCGGCTGCTCCGGCCGAGGTTGCTCCTTGCGCCGCGGCGAGGGGCGCGCTCGCCGACGAGGTGCAAGTCGAGCGAGCAGTTTGCCATTCAGCTGCGATCTGGGAGGGCCACGACTCCTTGGTGAACACGCGCCGCACCAGGTGCTTGGAAGCGAACGCGGAGCGGCGCGTTGGCTGAGCAGCGCGGGGCGGCCGCGCGGGCCGCGGCGAATGAGGGCGCCGATGGCATGGGGGCCGCGTGCGCCGAGGGCGCCGAGGGCTGCCCCGAGTTGCTGGCGGGGTGGTCGCGTAACATTTGGAATACCGTCGACCCGCACAGTAAGGATAGGCATCCCTGCCAAGGGTACCCTTGCATCCTTGCTTCCTGGGTCCATCCTTGGACACTCTCGTTGGCCGCGCACCGCTCGAAACGCTTCGAGGTGGGCGTCCAAGGGCTTTGCATCCTTATCGCGCATCCTTACTCTGCGGGTTGACTGTAGCACTCCGCATGATTACCCCGACGCCGATGAGCGCGCGCGGCAGCACGAGCACCCAGCGGGCGGCGAGGCCGCCGCAGCGCCGACCCCGCCTGTGCCGCGGACCCCGCAGGGCGTCGAAGAGTCTGTCTTCGTGGAGATACTTGATGTGGACCTGGAGTCACGCGTGATCACCGGAGTCGACGACGCGGAGTTTGCGCGGGTCGGGGGCGATTTGCTCGCGGCCGCGTGCAAGAGCGCGCTCCTGTGGAAGTGCTCTGCGGCAGAGAAACGCATCGCCGGCAGCGCGGTCTCCGACGCTATCCGCTCGAGCCAGGTCGCTTGGCCGACCTTGCCCTGGTGGAAGTCCCTCGCGGTGGATGGGGGGCTCTTGCGTGCGGGGCTGGGCCGGAAGTCTGACCGCCATGCCGGCGGCGGGGCCTGGGAGAAGCCCGAGGGGCCGACCGCCGACGACGAGCTCGCTGACCTTGTGGAGAAGCTCGCCCAGAGCACTGCGACCGTGCTCGGGTCGCTTCTGCTCGGCTGCTTCCGGCCTGGCGCCCGCGCGCAGGCCCTGGCCGCGCGTCCGCGCGCGCGGCGGCGCCAGGTGGCGGCGCCAGCGCGTCGCCCGCCTCGCGGGCGCGCCCTGCCGCGCGCAGCGGCCCGTCTTCCGGCGCGCGCGGGAAGCGACGCGGACCGACGAGCGTTCGCGCCCGAGCGCCGTCCCGGCGCCGCGCGCGCGCTGCCGTCTCCTCCTCCGCCTCCTCCTCCTCCTGCACCGCCCTCCTCTTCAGCCCTCCTCCTCCCTCGTCCTCCTGCCTCCCTTCTCCTCCTCCCTCCTTCTCCTCCCTCCTCCCCCTCCCTCCTTCCTCCTTCTCCTCCTCCCTTCTTCCTCCTCCCTCCTGCTTCTCCTCCACCTCTAGTGGTACGCTGCCCATGCTCGCCTGCGGGACAGGTCACATCCTGGACAGTCCTCCCTCCCTCCTTCCTCCTCCTCCTCCTCCATTCTTCGTCCTTGCAGATAACTCCTCGCTGCCGCACCCGCACCCGCAGACTTGTCAGTAGGGTGGGCCAGGCGTTTGGCTTGAGACCACCCAACCATGCATGATCCCTAAGTGTGAACTTGACAACGTGTTGCATGGATGCAGGGCGGGCGATTTTCAACACGTGGTACTCACCTTAGCACGGAGGAGGAGGAGGAGGAGGAGGAGGAGGAGGAGGAGGAGCGACCGTATTCGTGCTCAAAGTTTGCAGCAATTTCAGGGATGGAGGGCGTGCGGTTTTCAGCATGTGGCCGTCGCCTTAGCGCCGCGCGCATTTGTGTTGAATCAGGAGGAGAAAAAACACAATGAATCGTCGATCCCCAGGAAAGTATAAGAAAGTATGGCCAAACATATGGGCAGATGTTGTGAATATTGTTACTTGTGTCTATTGATTTGTGTGTCCCAGGCCTCTTCATGAAAGGGTGCAACAGCTTCACGGAAGGAGGGCGGGCCGTTTCTTTGTTTTTCTTTTGTTGTTTTTGTTTTGTATTTTCTTTTGAAGAACACAAATGAATATGGTTCTCGCCTTAGCGCCGCGCACATTCGTTTTACATTCTTGCAGCCGCTTCAAGGATTCGTACGGCCGAAGTCCTTGGAATGGTGTTTCGGCACGGCTCAGGATTTGACACGACGCAGCAACCACGTTGATTCGCGGTGCTTCAGTCCCAGGATCGGCGTTCTGGCACGAATTAGGGTGATCAGGACGCAGCGGTCCCATGGATTCGCGTCGCTGAAGTCTCAGGAGCGGTGTTTTGGCACGAGACATTCGTCTTCGAATGGGACACTCTTCGCAATGAAAGTAGGTGGTTGTGGGGACCTGTGAGGAGGGAACTTGGAGGGAGGGCTCATTGCAGCATCGTTGCTTCGTCTTGGGCTTGCACTGGTCCCTGGTCCTCCTCCTCCTGCCCCTCCGCGTCCGCCTCCTCCCTCCTCCCCTCTCGAAAAGGCCCTCTCCTGCAGCCCCCTCCCCCCAAGCCAGCTCCTCGCGTCCTCCGGCGGCGCGGCCCCGCCTCGCCCGAGCCCCCAGGTGGTCGTCAAGTCCGCGGCCCCCATGAAGTGCGGCCCTTAGCAGCGCCGGCCCCGCGGGATCCACGGGTTGCCCGGCCCTGGCTCGCCATGAGGACATGGTGCCCTGACGGGAACGGGGCCTGGATTTCCCCCGCCCCCCCCCTCGGCCTCCCCTGGGCCGCCCCACCCCCACCCTATCCTCGGGACCGTCAACGGAGGAGTCAGGACGGAACGGCGGTCCTGCCCCCCCCAGGGTCCAGGACTCGCTTTCTTCAGGGTCCGCTTCCTTCACGGTAGCCAGTTCCCTCCTGCACTGGTTGCGATCTTCCTTGACTCTCCTCCTGCCGCCTGACGCCGAGCTGGCGGCGTTTTTCGCCTGCGCCAGGGCGGCCCGGGGCGTGGGGGGCTTCCTCCGCCTCCCTCCGAGTACTTGTGTTGGCTCGCCTTCGCTCCTTGTCCAGCCAATCCTCATTCTTTGATCCTCGTCCTCCTCGATCGTCCTCCTCCTCCTCCTCCTCCTCGTCTTTCTCCTCCTCTTCCTCCTCCCCCTCTTCCTCCTCCTCCTCCTCCTCCTCCTCCTCCTCCTCCTCCTCCTCCTCTTGCCTCTTTCTCCTACCCCCCTTCGTGCAGCGTTCATTACGGCCTGGTTTACCGAGTGAGCCTGTGCTCCGTGCGCGCGCGAATGCGCCCTTGCCCAGACCTTCCTTTCAGTTGAGGGGCAGCCGGGCAGAGGCCAATTTCTGTTGCAGGTCTCCAGGCCGTCGCGGCCAGCGCAACCACGCGGCGATTCAGCCGTCCTCGTCCCTCCTCCTCCTCCTCCTCCTCCTCCTCCTCCTCCTCCTCCTCCTCTCCTCCTCCCCCTCCTCCTCCTCCCCCTCCTCCCTACCCATCTCCGTCCACCCCTCCTCCCCCTTGTCGTTCCTCCTCCTCCTCCTTCCCCTCCTCCTCCTCCTCCTCCTCCTTTCCTCTCCTCCTCCTCCTCCTCCTCCTCCTCCTCCTCCTCCTCCTCCTCCTCCTCCTTCTGCCTCCTGCTCCTGCTCCTCCTTCTCCTCCTCCTCCTCCTCCTCCTCCTCCTCCTCCTCTTCCTCCTCCTCCTCCTCCTCCTCCTCCTCGCACGTCTGCCGGGACTCCTCCGCACAGTTGGCCCGCGCCCGGGCGCGCGGGGCCCCCGGCCAGGCCGCCGCGTGCCGCTCCTTGCCTCCTGCTCCACTGCCAGAAGGTCTCGCGCGTGCTGATCAGCTGCAGCAGTCCCTGCCTCCGGCTCGCTCCGGGCAGTAGGTGTGTATCAGATAACTGTCGGGGGCCCCCAAACGGGGTGGTGACCACGCCGTGTGGTGAGTCGGTGGGGATTCGGGGTCACCGCACGGTTTTGGGGCTCGGGTCGTTCTCCGAGGATGTCTCGGGCGACTGGAGCCTCCAGGGTCCCAAAACCGTGTGGTGACGGACCGTGCGGTGAGGTCTCTTGGGGTTCCGAGGTCACCGCACGGTCTATCACCACACCTTTTTGGGACCCCCAAAACAGGTTGTGCCTTTCCAGCTCTTCTCACACCACACCACCACCGGCATGTTGCGCACGTGGTAGCTGACGCCCCTTCGCGCCAGACCACGTCCGAAGCCGAACCCTCGGGTTCTTGAGCTCCGTCTCGTCCAGGGTGACTATGGCCTTCTTGGCCTCCCTCTCTGTGGAGAAGCATGCCTGACCAGGTCCGAACGATCTGCCGTAGGCGGCTCCGTCCTCTGTGAGCATTCTGCAGGATTCCACGCTGCCCGCCTGCGTCGTGTGGTCCTTGAGGTCGCGCCAGTCGACGTCGTGAGACACATCTCCTACGCAGACCTGGCTTGTACCCACCGGCGTCGGCTCGGCCGCGCCTCGCCCCGTCTGCCGCCACTGCTGTCCCTGCTCCCGCTCCGTGCCCGCACCGCGGCCGGCCTGCGGCCTGCCTGGCTGTCGCGGTTGGGAGGGCGGCGGCGCTTCTTGCTCTGCGCCTGGGCTGCTGCTACCTGAGGTGCCACTGCCCTGAGCTGCCACCGCCGCCACTGCCACTGAGCTGGCACTGCCTGAGCTGCCACTGCCGCCACTGCCTGAGCTGCCACTGTCGCCACTGCCACTGAGCTGCCACTGCCACCACTGCCTGGACTGCCACTACCTTGAGCTGCCACTGCCGCCACTGCCCGGGCTGCCACTGCCTGGGCTGCCATTGCCGCCTCTGCCGCTGCCGCCTTGGTGTCTTGGCCGCTACTGCCGTCCCTTCTGGCACCGTAGCGGATGTCGTCGGGCTCGTGCTTCACTGTGCCACTCTTGTGGCTGATGTTGTTGGGCTCGTGCTTCGTTGTTTCACTCTCGTAGCTGGCGACGTTGGGCTCGTGCTTTCCTGCGCCTCCCCCGTAATTAGCTGATGGCATCGGGCTTGTGCCTCGCGATGCCACCCACGTGGCCGATGACGTTGGGCTCGTTCTTCGCTTCCCCTCCGTCTTCTTCTCTTCTGCTCATGGTGATGTCCGCGTAGCCTAGACGGCCGAGTACGCATGCATAGCAGGCGGTGCACAAATATGCCAAGACACTCCACATGATTCGGACACGGCGCTCCGCTTGCCAGCCCGTAGTTGACGACATGTCGTAACCGGCCTCCGCCGCCACTGCCCTACCTGCTGGCCCTTCTCGCACCACTGCCGACCCTTCTCGCACCATTGCCGGCCCCTCTCGCGCCGCTGCCGGCCCTTCTCGCACCACTGCCGGCCCTTCTCGCACCACTACCGGCCCATCGTGCACCATTGCCAGCCCTTCTCGCACCACTGCTCGCCCTTCTCGCACCACTGCCCGCCACACTGCTGGCGCTTCTCGCGTGAGGTGAGCGGCCGCAACACTGTAGCTGATGACGCCAGGATCGTGCTTCGCGGCACCGCTTTCGTAGCTGATGGCATCGGACTCGTGCTTCGCTGCGCCACCCTCGTAGCTGATGGCGTTGGGCTCGTGCCTCGTGTGACCCCTCCTGTAGCTGACGACGTTGGCCTCGTGCTTCGCCCCACCTCCCTCGTCGTAGCTGTTGCCTTCGGGTTCGTGGTTCTCGACACCGCCCTCGTAGCGGACGGCGCGGGTTTCGCGCTTCGCTGTGCCAGTCTCGTGGCTGATGGTATCGGGCTCGTGTCTGTCAGCGCCACTCTGGCGCTGACACGCCACTATGCCCCCCCCTGAACAGGACGAGAAAATCAGGGTGTACTGCGTTGTCTGTACACATGCTGTCAGCAGCGTTGTCTCTAAGCCTGTATGTACGCCTGCTGTCTGCTGCAGTTGGCTTATCTTCGGAGGAGCATGAAGTATTGACATTGACTGACTTCAACAGTTCCAGGTTTTCCCGTGCTTCCGCGCGGGCTCCAGGGACGAATGGTCGAGCGCACTGCGTCGCGCAGGTTCTTTGCGTGATGTGCGCGGTGCATGCTCGCGCATCGGAGCGCCCTCGGAGATTCCAAGCTGGATTCTGTTTTGCTCTTGGGGTGTCCGCGAGTCGTAGCTGCCGTGGCGCGATTGTCGAGGCAACCCCTTTGAGCGCTGTTCGCTGGCGCAGGGCGCGGCGCGCGCTGCGCCCAATCGCACGCGGCGCAGCACGTGAATCAGCCGGTCGCGCCCGTCAGACCGCCCGGAAAGTATCTCCGGACTGTAGAATGTTTCAAAACAGCGCGGCCGTTTTTTGGCAAAAGCGGTGCCGGAATGTTTCAAAAAAAGAGTCCGGAAATGTTCAAGAAACAGTTTTGGTGGGTGGAATGCGCCCGCCGCACAGGACATCTGAATCCATCTGAAATCCGGAAAATTTCAAAATTGATTCCCCGGATTTTCTCAACAGTGATTCCGGAATTTATCAAAATCGATTCCAGGATTCCAGAAGTAAGCCGGGCATTTTATCAAATCTACCCTCGGAAAATGTTCCAGAGTCGCTCGTGATTTGCCTTACCAGGTTTTTGGGAATCCGCCGAGGCGCGCAGTGCGCGGCGGCGGGCGACGGGGAGGTGCGCCACCGTCTCCCCCCCCCCCGCGCTCGGCAACGAAAAGGGGGATCAGCAAGTGTCAAATAGCCCCCTACGGGCGAGTACTCGACTGCGAATGGGTGACCGACCAACGGCGCCAGGCAGAGTAGACATTATTCGACGCAAAGTGTACCCCGCGCGAAAGCTGTTCGACATCCAGGAGTTCCCAAATCTTATCAATAACAAATTGTGTCAATAGGTTCTTCTCGTCCTATATCTCGCAGCTAATATCGTAGCTGGTGACGTTTGGCGCCATGTTAGCTTCCGTCCAACACTGCAGGAGACAGGGGACGATCTCTGGAACATTCTGAATGGATCCTGGGCCTGTTGATTTTATTATCTTGCGTACCGCTGCCACTAATACTCGGAGCAGAAACATCGGAGCTTCCTGATCGGCCACATGGGTTGGGCGCAGGTGTGATTGCAGCCCAGTCTGGGTACGCAAGTCGGACGAGACTACCAGAGCTGGTCGTTTTGCCACTCGTTTCTTTCTCTACTGTCTTCGCCTGGCCGCCAACGCGGTCTCCTCAGACGCTGCCGTCACACAAGGGTGGTCGCCCTTGTGGCGGTGAGTCGGTGTGGTCTCCCGAATGACGAGGAGGAGGAAGAGGAGGCGAAGGACGAACCTCCCCCGATGGTCGGGGCAGAATCCACCTGGCCGCATCTTCACCCAGGCTGTGCGCGGGTCAGTCTGCAATCGCACGGCACCGGCAGTTCGGGACTCAATGCGCATGCGTTTGGAGACCCTCGAACATCCGAGCGTCCGAGCCTCCCCCGATTTGAGGCCTCCCCGTCCCCGATGGGGAGGGAAAAGGGGGACGAGGGCGAGGAAGATAAGGAGAAAGAGGACGACGAGGACGAGCACGAGGCGGACCAGGCTCCCCTACTGTACGTCCCATCATTCCCTTCCTTTTCGTCATAGTCGTCCCCCTCCTTCCATGTCTGTGGCCTCGTCCTCAGCATCACCCCCCCTCCTTTCTGAGGACACGGATGGGGGGGGAGAGGGCGAGATTTAGCATCGTGTCGATCCGCGCAGCCATGCCCATTCGGAGTGGCTGACCTTTGGAAACAACACGGGGCGCTCAAGAGCGAGACGCGCAAGCACTACAACACCGCGCGGAGCACGAGGCAAAAACCACACCCAGGCAGGGGAAACCATTCATCACCAGATGTTCCGCGTTCCGCCGCACGCGCGGGGCCTGGCCTTCCAAGAACAAGGTCTTGCTCAAAGCCGGGGCCTCCATGCACAAGGAAGCCGCGAAGACTCGCAAGGCTTGTGTGGGGGATTGGGAAGCCAGCCGCGCAAACCTTTCCACCTTGTGTTCTGATTCGGTGAGTAGTCTTGGTTTGCTGCGCCTCGGGCGTTTGGGCACGCGGCGCGTCCTCATGGAAAACAAGGAGCCGCGTCGAAGGCTCAGCCCGCCTGCGCGCAGAATGCGCGGACTGCAATCGCCAGTGCGCAGCGCTGGTCCTTGCCAAAAAAACATCAAAACCGCCGAGGTCGGGAGAACGAGGACGGTCAAGGAGAAAGAGTAGGAGGAGGAGTTGGAGGAAGGAAGGGGAGGAGGAGGAAGAAAAGGAGGATGTGGGCCAATGTGAATGCATGACGCATCACGGAACCTTCTCCCCGTTAGAACTGTCTGAGAAACCCCACTCGTGCCCAAGCACCGTTCCTGGGACTTGAGCGCTTCGGATCCACGTGACGATTGCGTCCTGACGGTCCCAGATCGTGCCAGGACGCAGTTCCCGGGACCTGCACGCCGCGGATCCACGCGATTGTTGCGTCCTGACATTCCTCAGGGCATTGTCTCCGGGAAACCGCAGGAATCTTTCAAAGTGCTGCAAACTGTTCTGGCGAATGTGCGCGGCGGCAAGGCGCCAACCACGTTTTGAAAGGGCGGCGCCCTGCGTCCTCGACAGTCAGTTGCGGGCTTTGGGGGCGAATTTGCGGGGCGCCCTGGCGAGAACCAGATTTTGAACAGCACCTGCCATTGACTGGGACGATGGGAAACTTTAGGACGACTGGAAGCCTCGATTTTGAAAACTTCGATGTTGAGCACAGACCCGTGAGACCATTGGGGACTTTTTAGGGCGACTGCGCGCGGCGCTTGGGGGAGAGCCGCGTTGTGACAACGGCCCGCCGGCCATCCGTGATATGCGTGGTAGCATTTCGGGACACCTGTGCGCGGCGCTGGGGCGTGAGCTACACGTTGAAGAACAACGCCGCCCTTCCTTTTTCCAGCTGCTGCAAACAAGCCATCAGGACGCATGCGCGCGGTGCTGCGGCGAAGACCACGTTGTTTAATGACCCACCTTCCGTCGGTGAAGTTGTTTCGAACTTTGAAGACGAATGCGCGCGGCGCTGAGGCGACAATCGCACTTCGAAACAGGACCCGGCCTCCACCCGTGAAACTGTTACAGAAATAAGTTTCGGGAGCACAGGCGCGAGGAAGTATCGGGCGAAACGCCCGACCCGCCCTACCGACGCGTCTGGGGGTGCGACAGGGGTGATTCCTTATAGGGGAACAGGGATAGGGGAGGAGGAGGAAGATGAGGAGGAGGAGGAGGAGGAAATGGAGGCGGAGGAAATGGAGGCGAAGGAGGAGGAGGAGGAGGAGGAGGAGGCGAAGTGCAGGAAGAGCGTCGGCGACCGAGGTCGGACGGCGACGACCACAAGGGGGGCAGCCGCCGGGACGACCGCCGGGACAGGCGGGACGACCGCGACCGCGACAGGCGGCGGGACGACCCTTACGGCTATCCGCCTCCGTCTGGCGCGGGGCTCGGTTCGGGCCGGGCGGACACCCCAAACTCGGGCGGGCTTTCGTGTTCCATCGTCAGTATCGCTTGGCCAATGCCCTTCCCCATTCCCAAACCCCTCCGAGACCCCCGCCAAGTTACCACCCCAGTTGGGGATACACCCCTCGAAACTCGAAGGGAACGACCTATATCCCCATCTAGGGGGGTAAATCGGCCAGTGGGGCCTGGGCCACGCCGCTGGGGATGGGGATCGGTTAAGCGATGCTCAAGTCGTTGCTTGATTCCATGGCTTCGGCCCCGTAGGGCCACTCGCGGGCCCCAGGGCTGCCAAGCAAGGATCTGGGACGAGAGCCTACCCCTTGGGGGAAGGGGTCGAGGCGTCTGGGGGCGGCGGACGGAACAAGTCAATCCAGCGGAAGTTTGGGAAAGGGGGGCGGGATGGACTGTTAGGGGCAACGTTCGGGGGGGGGACAGGCCCGGGTGGGAAGTATCGATCTCCAATCGCCTGTCTGCTCATCGCACGGGGCCCTGTCGCCCACCCGGATCAGGAACGTGCGGCTGCGATATTTGGGGCCTGTCGCCGATTCGCCGACGTCAGCCCGATGTTCCCCCCCCCCACCACTGGTGGCTGGTCACCCCTGTCGCTGCCTTTCAAGATTGGGGGGGGGGGGGGGAAAGGGCGTGTTGCGAAAAAACTGCTGCGTGCACCCGGCTCGGCCCTGCCGTGAGGGCGCTCTCCCCGATGCACGGCCGCCTCTGGCGCCGGGAGGCGCCGGAGCTGCATGCAGCTGAGTCGCTGACCCCGCCTCTTGGGTGCGGGGGGGGGCGCGCAGCAGACGTTCATGTCTCGTAAGCGCTAGTCTGGGGCCGTCGATCTCGAGGTAGATTCAAACAAACATGTTTCACATCTAACACCACACAGCACCAAACTATGTTACGTTGTAAGGGGAGGGTAGACCGTATTGTCCGTTCTGCATTGCTTGTTCTTCTGCCATAAGTTCCATGAGGTAAGCTTATGTCTGCCGTAGTCTCAATGTTCAACGCCGCTAGCGGCCCAGAATCGGCAGAGATCGAAAGCTCTGCGCGATCGGAAGGCCTTGACCGTTCAAGTAACGATCCACGCGGTGTCAGAAAAACGAGCTCAGAAGTCGTCACAACACGAAGTTGCCGTGCTTCTTCAGGGGGCCGCGTGTGTGTGTGTGTGTGTGTGTGTTTATGCGTGTTTGTGTGTGTGCGTCGTGTTTTTGTTTATAGTTGTTTGTGTTGTTGTGTTTGTTGTGCTTGTGGTTGTGGTTGTGGTTGTGATGGTGGTTGTGGTTGTGGTTGTGGTTGTGGTTGCGGTTGTGGTTGTGGTTGCGGTTGTGGTTGTGGTTGTTGTTAGTGTTGTTATTGTTGTTGTTGTTATTGTTCTTGTTATTATGGTGGTTGTTCTTGTCGTTGTCGTTGTCGCTGTCGTTGTCGTTGTCGTTGTCGTTGTCGTTGTTGTTGTTGTTGTTGTTGTTGTTGTTGTTGTTGGTGTTGTTGTTGTTGTTGTTGTTGTTGTTGTTGGTGGTTGTGGTCGTGGTGGTGGTGGTGGTGTTGTTGGTGTTGTTGTTGTTGTTGTTGCTGTTGTTGTTGGTGTTGTTGTTGTTGTTGCTGTTGTTGTCGTCGTCGTCGTCGTTGTTGTTGTTGTTGTTGCTGTTGTGTGTGTATTCCTTCACTTCGCCTCCTCCCTCCTTCGTCTTCTCGCTCCCCTGGCCGCCCTGGCGGCCTTTCCGGCGCTCGGTCGCTCGTCCGTGTGCATCGGCAGGGCCCCAGTTCCTGGACTGGCGGCGCACGCGCGACGGCGCACCAGAGGCCCCAGCGAAGTCCCGCTTCCGTTGCTGTTCCTGCTGTTCCTGCTGCTGCTGCTCCCCCGTGCGTTCTCCCGTCCCTCCTGCAGCTGCAGCTGCAGGCCCTCCGGCTGTTCCCCCTGCTGCTCCTCTGCTGCTCTTGTGGTGCCGTTGCTGCTGCTGCTCTTTGCTGCTCCCCTGGCTGCTCCTCGTGCTGCCATGCTCCCTGCTGCCGCTCCTCCTGGTGCTCTTGTTCCTCCGGTGTCTCTTTCTCTTGCTCGTATTCCATGTCGTGCTCCTCCTCCCTCTCCTTGTCCCTTCTGCTGCTGCGTTGGTTTCCTCTTGTGTTCCTCCTCCTGCTGCTGTCTGCTTCTCCCGCCTGCTCTCGTGGCTGCTCCTCCTCCCTGCTCCTCCTGCCCTACACCGCTGCAGCAAATACTTTTCGTGCTAGTTTTAGTTTCTCACTTACCTCTCCAACCACTACTCCCACCATTCCTATATGTATTACTTCTACTGTTAGTACGAAGACTACTACTGCTACTACTCTTGCTGCCACTACTACTACTGCTGCTGCTATCACTACTACTACGGCTACGACTACGACTACGATTACAGCTACCCTTATTACTACTACTACTACGACTACTACTACTACTACGACTACTACTACTACTACTACTACTACTACTACTACCACCACTAC